GTCCCCAGGGTCCATGGTGGCACTTTGGGGGTGGCGGGGGGGGGATCTGTCACCGCTGTCCCCTCCCCAGCCACCGGCGACCTGTGCCCCACGGAGGAGAACCTCTACGAGCCCCTGGACCCTGCCATCGCCGTCCCCGACCCCCCCGGGACGCCGTGGGGGAGGGTGGGAGCAAACCAGGCACCCCTTAAAACCAGTGCCCCCCAGTTTAGCCCCGAGGGGGGGTCGGGGGTCACTCACCCAGCACTCCCAGTATGGGGGAGCTCCTCCAGGAAGAAGGTGCTGCTGGTGGGGATGGTGGCCCTGGGGGTCTCGCTGCTGGTCAACGTCCTCCTGCTGGCCCTGGGCTCCCGGCACGGTGAGGACTTGGGGGGCTCCGTGGGGCTCAGGGGGGGGGTCCTTCCATCCCTGGATCTGATGCTGGAGCTGTTGGGGGGCAGAGTTAAGGTTTTTGGGGTGTTGGGGGTCTCCACGGGGGGAGGGAGAGGGGGCTGAGCGCTCAGCCCCACCCCACGGCACTGACTGGGGTGTCCCCATTGTCCCCACGTCCAGGGTGTCCCCATGTCCAAGGTGTCCCCACAGCAGTGTTTGGGGTGTCCCCATTGTCCCCACGTCCAGGGTGTCCCCATGTCCAAGGGTTCCTCATGGCAATGTTTGGGGTGTCCCCATTGTCCCCACGTCCAGGGTGTCCCCATGGCAGTGCCTGGAGTGTCCCCATGTCCAGGGTGTCCCCGTGTCTGGGGTGTCCTCCTTGTCCCCATGCCCAGGGTGTCCCCATGTCCAGGGTGTCCCCATGTCCAAGGTGTCCCCATGGCAATATTCTGGGTGTCCCCATTGTCCCCGTGTCCGGGGTGTCCCCATGGCAGTGTCTGGGGTGTCCCCATTGTCCCCATGTCCAGGGTGTCCCCATGTCCAAGGTTTCCTCATGGCAATGTTTGGGGTGTCCCCATTGTCCCCATGCCTGGGGTGTCCCCCTTGTCCTCATGCCCAGGGTGTCCCCATTGTCCCCATGTCCAAGGGGTCCCCATGGCCCCATGCCTGAGGTGTCCCCATTGTCCCCATGTCCAGAGTGTCCCCGTGTTTGGGGTGTCCCCATTGTCCTCATGCCCAGGGTATCCCCATGTCCAAGATGTCCCCATGGCAATGTTCTGGGGTGTCCCCATTATCCCCATGTCCAGGGTGTCACCGTGTCTAGGGGTGTCCCCATTGTCCCCATGCCTGGGGTGTCCCCATGGCAATTCTGGGGTGTCCCCATTGTCCCCACGTCCAAGGTGGCCCTATGGCAATGTTCTGGGTGTCCCCATTGTCCCCATGTCTGGGGTGTCCCCACAGCAGTGTCTGGGGTGTCCCCAGTGTCCCCATGCCCAGGGGGTCCCCACAGCAGTGTCCAGGGTGTCCCCATGTCCAAGGTGTCCCCATGTCCAGGGTTTCTCCACAGCAATGTCTGGGGTGTCCCCATTGTCCCCACGTCCAAGGTGTCCCTATGGCAATGTTCTGGGTGTCCCCATTGTCCCCATGTCCAGGGTGTCCCCACAGCAGTGTCTGGGGTTGTCCCCATGTCCGAGGTGTCCCCATGGCAATGTCTGGGGTGTCCCCATTGTCCCCACGTCCAAGGTGTCCCTATGGCAATGTTCTGGGTGTCCCCATTGTCCCCATGTCCAGGGTGTCCCCGTGTTTGGGGTGTCCCCATTGTCCCTATGCCCAGGGTGTCCCCATGGCAGTGCCTGGAGTGTCCCCATGTCCGGGGTGTCCCCATTGTCCCCATGCCCAGGGTGTCCCCATGTCTGTGGTGTCCCCATGGCAGTATTTGAGGTGTCCCCACGTCCTGGGTGTCCCCATGTCCAGGGTGTCCCCATGCCTGGGGTGTCCCCATGAGGACAACGCACAGCAACACCCCCGGGGGGGACACCCCATGCCCTGTGGTGACAGGGTGACCTGTGTCCCCCCCAATTTGTGTGTGTGTGTCCCCAATTTGTGTGTGTCCCCCCCCAATTTATGTGTGTCCCCCCCAGTTGCAGCCCTGACGGCGGCGCTGGAGGCCGAGAGGTCCAAGGAGCTACCAGACATGGGTGCGTGTCCCCACCTTGTCCCCTCCCTTCCCACCATGACACCCTCAGACGTGTCCCCAACCTCTGCCTGTCCCCAAAACCCCTCCTCCACGCGTCCCCCTGTCCCCCCCCTCCACACCGTGTCACCGGGACCCTCTCCACAGCCTCCCAGTCCTTCCAGTTGTACAACGAAGCCCACGACATGTGCGTGGAGACCAGGGGACAAGACCTGACGGTGACAACCTGCCAACCCCAGGAGGTGGCCCAACGCTTCCAATGGTTGCCAGGGGGTCGCCTACGGGGTTGGGGCCAATGGTTGCCGGGGGGTCGCCTACGGGGTTGGGGGGCCCAGCGGTGCGTTACGGCCACCAGTAGCCAAAACCTGGCCCTGGTGAGACTGGAAAGGTGCCGGGAGGATACTGGTCTGCAGCGGTGGGAGTGCGGGGCCGGCGGGTTGTTGGCCTTGGCCGGTTTCAAGTTGTATTTTAATTATGGCAACAACCGGCTGAAAACGGTGATGCTTTATTCCGGAGACCGGGAATGGAGCCGCTGGGTCATCCCCGGGAGCAAGGAAACCCTCTGTTCCCGCTCTGGTCAGTGTGTGTGTCCCCCCCCCCAGAAAAAAAAATTGCTTTTTAATTTTTTTTTTAGAATATCTACAAGTTTGGGTTAAAAAATTTCAGCCCCGAGTTGGAAAAAACGAAGCCGAAGCGAAGCTTAAATGGATCGAATCCCCCCGGGATTTAAGGGGATTTAAGGGATTGAATCAGATCCTAAACCAGCCCCAATCCCAAAGGGAACCCCCCAAAACTAGTCCTAACCCTAAATATAGAGGATTTAACCCAATCCTGACCCCAAGGGGACCCCAAAACCAGTCCTAACCCTAAATATACAGGATTTAACCCAATCCAGACCCCAAGATGACCCCCAAAACCAGTTCGAAGCTTAAATGGATCGAATCCCCCCGGGATTTAAGGGGATTTAAGGGATTGAATCGGATCCTAAACCAGCCCCAATCCCAAAGGGAACCCCCCAAAACTAGTCCTAACCCTAAATATAGAGGATTTAACCCAATCCTGACCCCAAGGGGACCCCCAAAACCAGTCTTAACCCTAAATATACAGGACTTGATCCAGTCCAAACCCCAAGGGGACCCCAAAACCAGTCCTAACCCTAAATATATGGGATTTAACCCAATCCTGGCCCAGCCCAAACCCCAACAGAACCCCAAACTGGTCCTAACCCTAAATATAGAAGATTTAACCCAAACCTGGCCCAGTCTAAACCAGTCCTAACCCTAAATATATGGGATTTAACCCAATCCTGACCCCAAGGGGACCCCTAAAACAAGTCCTAACCCTAAATATAGAGGATTTAACCCAATCCTGACCCAGTCTAAACCAGTCCTAACCCTAAATATACAAGATTTAACCCAATCTTGACCCAGTCTAAACCAGTCCTAGCCCTAAATAGAGAGGATTTAACCCAATCCTGACCCAGTCTAAACCAGTCCTAACCCTAAATATACAAGATTTAACCCAATCTTGACCCAGTCTAAACCAGTCCTAACCCTAAATATACAAGATTTAACCCAATCTTGACCCAGTCTAAACCAGTCCTAACCCTAAATATACAAGATTTAACCCAATCTTGACCCAGTCTAAACCAGTCCTAACCCTAAATATACAAGATTTAACCCAATCTTGACCCAGTCTAAACCAGTCCTAACCCTAAATATACAAGATTTAACCCAATCTTGACCCAGTCTAAACCAGTCCTAGCCCTAAATATACACGATTTAACCCAATTGTGGCCCAATCCCAACTCCAAACCAGCCCTAACCCTAAATATACAGGATTTAACCCAATCCTGACCCAGTCTAAACCAGTCCTAGCCCTAAATATATGGGATTTAACCCAATCCTGACCCCAAGGGGACCCCAAAACCAGTCTTAACCCTAAATATATGGGATTTAACCCAATCCTGACCCAGTCTAAACCAGTCCTAGCCCTAAATATACAGGATTTAACCCAATCCTGACCCAGTCTAAAACCCCCAAACCAGTCCTAACCCTAAATATACAGGATTTAACCCAATCCTGACACCAAGGGGACCCCCAAAACCAGTCCTAACCCTAAATATAGAGGATTTAACCCAATCCTGACCCCAAGGGGATGCCAAATCCAGTCCTAACCCTAAATATAGAGGATTTAACCCAATCCTGACCCAGTCTAAACTAGTCCTAACCCTAAATAGAGAGGATTTAACCCAATCCTGACCCAGTCTAAACTAGTCCTAACCCTAAATAGAGAGGATTTAACCCAATCCTGACCCAGTCTAAACTAGTCCTAACCCTAAATAGAGAGGATTTAACCCAATCCTGACCCAGTCTAAACTAGTCCTAACCCTAAATAGAGAGGATTTAACCCAATCCTGACCCAGTCTAAACTAGTCCTAACCCTAAATAGAGAGGATTTAACCCAATCCTGACCCCAAGGGGACCCCCAAAACCAGTCCTAACCCTAAATATATGGAATTTAACAAAAACCTGACCCAGTCTAAACTAGTCCTAACCCTAAATATACAGGATTTAACCCAACCCTGACCCCAAGGGGACCCCCAAACCAGTCCTAACCCTAAATATATGGGATTTAACCCAATCCTGACCCAGTCTAAACCTGTCCTAACCCTAAAGATAGAGGATTTAACCCAATCCTGGCCCAGCCCAAACCCCAACAGGACCCCAAACTGTCCTAACCCAAAATACAGAGGATTTAACCCAATCCTGACCCAGTCTAAACCAGTCCTAGCCCTAAATAGAGAGGATTTAACTCAATCCTGACCCCAAGGGGACCCCGAATCCAGTCCTAACCCTAAATATACAATATTTAACCCAATCCTGACCCAGTCTAAACCAGTCCTAGCCCTAAATATACAGGATTTAATCCAATCCTGACCCAGTCTAAACCAGTCCTAGCCCTAAATAGAGAGGATTTAACCCAATCCTGACCCAGTCTAAACCAGTCCTAGCCCTAAATATACAGGATTTAACCCAATCCTGACCCCAAGATGACCCCCAAAACCAGTCCTAACCCTAAATATACAGAATTTAACCCAATCCTGACCCAGTCTAAACCAGTCCTAGCCCTAAATAGAGAGGATTTGATCCAGTCCAAACCCCAGGGGGACCCCAAATCCAGTCCTAACCCTAAATATATGGGATTTAACCCAATCCTGACCCCAAGGGGACTCCCAAAACCAGTTCTAACCCTAAATATATGGGATTTAACCCAATCCTGACCCAGTCTAATCCAGTCCTAACCCTAAATATATGGGATTTAACCTAACCCTGACCCAGTCTAAACCAGTCCTAACCCTAAATATACAGGATTTAACCCAATCCTCACCCCAAGGGGACTCCCAAAACCAGTCCTAACCCTAAATATACAGAATTTAACCCAATCCTGACCCAGCCTAAACCAGTCCTAACCCTAAATATATGGGATTTAACCCAATCCTGACCCAGCCCAAACACCAACAGGACCCCAAACTGGTCCTAACCCTAAATATACAGGATTTAACCTAATTTTGACCCAGTCCAAACCCTAAATCCAGTCCTAACCCTAAATATAGAAAATTTAACCCAACCCTGACCCAGTCTAAAACCCCCAAACCAGTCCTAACCCTAAATACAGAGGATTTAACCCAATCCTGACCCAGTCTAAACCAGTCCTAACCCTAAATATACAAGATTTAACCCAATCTTGACCCAGTCTAAACCAGTCCTAGCCCTAAATAGAGAGGATTTAACCCAATCCTGGCCCAGCCCAAACCCCAACAGGACCCCAAACTGGTCCTAACCCTAAATATACAGGATTTAACCTAATTTTGACCCAGTCCAAACCCTAAACCCAGTCCTAACCCTAAATATAGAAAATTTAACCCAATCCTGACCCAGTCTAAAACCCCCAAACCAGTCCTAACCCTAAATATAGAGGATTTAACCCAATCCTGACCCCAAGGGGACCCCAAAACCAGTCTTAACCCTAAATATATGGGATTTAACCCAACCCTGACCCAGTCTAAACCAGTCCTAGCCCTAAATATATGGGATTTAACCCAATCCTGACCCCAAGGGGACCCCAAAACCAGTCCTAACCCTAAATATATGGGATTTAACCCAATCCTGACCCAGTCTAAAACCCCCAAACCAGTCCTAACCCTAAATAAATCATATTTAACCCACCCCCCACCCCTTTTTTTTTGTGTGTTTCCCCCCTCCCCCGTCCCCAGTCTGTTCCCCTTGTCCCAAAGGCTGGAGTTATTTTGGGAATTCCTGCTATTTTTACTCCAAAACGGCCAGTTCTTGGGAAAACGCCCGGCACTTCTGCTCGGCCCTGGGCACGGAGCTCCTGGAGGTGGAGGGGGCCAAGGAGAGGGTGAGTGGCATTTGGGGACACCGGGGCAGGGGGGACAATGTGGGGGGGGACAGGTGGCCTTGGTGGGGAGGTGACCATCTCCTGGGGGTCCTGGAAGCCTCCTCTGAACCCCACAAACCCCCTCCTGATGCCTACAAGAGTTTGGGGCTCACCCCATTTCCCCCAGGTGGGTGTTGCTGAGCCCTCGCCCTCAGATTTACCCCAATTCTGTCTTTTTAACCCTAAATTTATACTCTGGTATATATAGAATATAAATTTATACTCTAAATTTATGCTCTTAATTATAATATTTCTATAATTATGTCCGACTCCATTCCTAATAGAGACCAATACTAAAAAAATATCCAGCCAAAACCTGACTCTAACCCTAAACCTGACCCTAAAGTGAGCCCAATAAGGCCCAAACCCAGCCCAAACTCTAAATATGTAGGATTTAAGAGAACCCTAAAATAATCCAGAGCCCAGTGAAGCCCTGACCCTGCCCTAACCCTAAATATATAGGATTTAAGACAACTTTAAGCAGGTCCAGACCCCAATGAGGCCTTAACCCTAAATATATAGGATTTAAGAGAACCCTAAAATAATCCAGACCCCAATGAGGCCCAAACTCAGCCCTAACCCTAAAATATATAGGATTTAATGCACCCCTAAAATAATCCAGACCCCAATGAGGCCTTAACCCTAAATATATAGGATTTAAGAGAACCCTAAAATAATCCAGACCCCAATGAGGCCCAAACTCAGCCCTAACCCTAAAATATATAGCATTTAACACGCCCCTAAAATAATCCAGACCCCAATGAGGTCCTAATCCAGCTTTATCCCTATATATATAGGATTTAAGAGAACCCTAAACTGGTCCAGACTCCAATGAGGCCCTGACCCAGCCCTAAATTTAAATATATAAGATTTAAAACACCCCTAAAATAATCCAGACCCCAGTGAGGCCCTAACTCTAAATATCTAGGATTTAAGAGAACCCTAAAATAATCCCAACCCCCAACGAGGCCTTAACCCTATATATATATAATTTAATATAACCCTGAACTAGTCCACACCCCAACGAGGCCCAAACTCAGCCCTAATCCTAAAATATATAGGATTTAAGACACCCCTAAAATAATCCAGACCCCAATGAGACCTTAACCCTAAATATATAGGATTTAAGACACCCCTAAAATAATCCAGACCCCAATGAGACCTTAACCCTAAATATATAGGATTTTAGACACCCCTAAAATAATCCAGACCCCAACGAGGCCTTAACCCTAAATATATAGGGTTTAAGAGAACCCTAAAATAATCCAGACCCCAGTAAGACCCAAACCCAGCCCTAAATCTAAATATACAGGGTTTAAAACACCCCTAAAATAATCCAGACCCCAATGAGACCTTAACCCTAAATATATAGGATTTAAGACACCCCTAAAATAATCCAGACCCCAGTAAGACCCAAACCCAGCCCCAAATCTAAATATCTAGGGTTTAAGACACACCGAAAATAATCCAGACCCCAACGAGGCCTTAACCCTAAATATTTAGGATTTAAGACACCCCTAAAATAATCCCGACCCCAGTAAGACCCAAACCCAGCCCTAAATCTAAATATATAGGGTTTAAAACACCCCTAAAATAATCCCAACCCCAGTAAGACCCAAACCCTAAATATCTAGGATTTAAGAGAACCCTAAAATAATCCAGACCCCAATGAGGCCCAAACTCAGCCCTAACCCTAAAATATATAGGATTTAATGCACCCCTAAAATAATCCAGACCCCAATGAGGCCTTAACCCTAAATATATAGGATTTAAGAGAACCCTAAAATAATCCAGACCCCAATGAGGCCCAAACTCAGCCCTAACCCTAAAATATATAGGATTTAATGCACCCCTAAAATAATCCAGACCCCAATGAGGCCTTAACCCTAAATATATAGGATTTAAGACACCCCTAAAATAATCCAGACCCCAATGAGACCTTAACCCTAAATATATAGGATTTAAGACACCCCTAAAATAATCCAGACCCCAATGAGACCTTAACCCTAAATATATAGGATTTAAGACACCCCTAAAATAATCCAGACCCCAATGAGACCTTAACCCTAAATATATAGGATTTAAGACACCCCTAAAATAATCCAGACCCCAATGAGACCTTAACCCTAAATATATAGGATTTAAGACACCCCTAAAATAATCCAGACCCCAATGAGACCTTAACCCTAAATATATAGGATTTAAGACACCCCTAAAATAATCCAGACCCCAATGAGACCTTAACCCTAAATATATAGGATTTAAGACACCCCTAAAATAATCCAGACCCCAATGAGACCTTAACCCTAAATATATAGGATTTAAGACACCCCTAAAATAATCCAGACCCCAATGAGACCTTAACCCTAAATATATAGGATTTAAGACACCCCTAAAATAATCCAGACCCCAATGAGACCTTAACCCTAAATATATAGGATTTAAGACACCCCTAAAATAATCCAGACCCCAATGAGACCTTAACCCTAAATATATAGGATTTTTTCTTTCCCCCTCAGACCCCCAAATGCCCCCCATGATCCCCAAATACCTCACAGATCCCCTTAAGTCCCTCCCCACACCCCCAATTACCCCCTCAAATCTCTCCCCACACCCCTCACCCTATGGCCGCGGGCCCGGGAGGGATCCAGGAGGGGGGCTCTCCCCGCTCTGAAGCGGGGGGGGTCTCCCGGTCCGGGGAGGGCGTCCCCGGTTTTGGGGGGGTGTCCCCGGTTGGAGAAGGGGAAGGCGGGGGTGGGTTCCGGACTACAGCTCCCGGCAGCGCTGCCGGCGGCATCCCAGGAATTCGCGCCGCGGGATGGCGGCCCCGCCGCTCCAGGCCCCGCCGCGCTGAGGGGACGGGGGTGCGGGGCGACCGGGAAGGGCTGAAGGGACCGCGAAGAGGCTGAGGCGACCCCGAAAGGCTGAGAGAACCGGGAAGGGCTGAGGGGACCGGGACGGGCTGAGGGAACCGGGAAGGGCTGAGGGGACCGGGAAAAGCTGAGGGGATCGGGAAGGGCTGAGGGGACCGGGAAAAGCTGAGAGGATCGAGTCGGCCTGAGGGGACCGGGAAGGGCTGAGGGGACCGGGAACAGCTGAGGGGACCCCGAGGGGCTGAGGGGACAGAGAAGGGCTGAGGGGACCCCCAGGGGCTGAGGGGACCGAGAGGGGCTGAGGGGACCCCGAAAGGTTGAGGGGACCGGGAAAGGCTTGAGGGGCCCCCGAAAGGCTGAGGGGACCGGAAAGGACTAAGGGGACCCCGAAAGGCTTGAGGAGACTCCGAAAGGTTGAGGGGACCGGGAAGGGCTGAGGGGACCCCGAGGGGCTGAGGGGACCGGGAAGGGCTGAGGGGACCGGGAAAAGCTGAGGGGACCGAGAGGGGCTAAGGGGACCCCGAAAAGCTTGAGGGGACCCCGAAAGGCTGAGGGGACCCCAAAAGGTTGAGAGGACCGGGAAGGGCTGAGGGGACCCCAAAAGGCTTGAGGGGACTGGAAAGGCTGAGGGGACCCCAAGGGTCTGAGGGGACCGGGAAGGGCTGAGGGGACCCCCAGGAGCTGAGGGGACTGGGAAAAGCTGAGGGGACCCCGAAAGGCTTGAGGAGACCCTGAGGGGCTGAGGGGACCGGGAAGGGCTGAGGGGACCCCCAGGAGCTGAGGGGACTGGGAAAAGCTGAGGGGACCCCGAAAGGCTTGAGGAGACCCTGAGGGGCTGAGGGGACCGGGAAGGGCTGAGGGGACCCCGAGGGGCTGAGGGGACCGAGCCGCCGCGGGATGGTGGCCCCGCCGCGCTGAGGGGACGGGGCAGGGGGACACAGGAGGGCCTGAGGGGAGCGGGAAGGGCTGAAGGGGACCCGGAGGGAGCCAAGAGGCCGGGGTGAGGGCAGGGGGGGCGGTTCCCAGCCGTGTGAGGGGAAGCGATGGCGGAGCCGCTGCTGCGAAGAACCTTCTCCCGCCTGAGGGGCCGCGACCGCCCCCGCGGGAAGAAGGCGGACGGCAAGGAAAGAGGTACGGACACCCCCCCCGGGAAGGATGTCCCCCCCCAGAGTCCCTTCTGCACCCCCCGAGGAAGGGACACCCCCAAGAAGGGAACCCCCAGAACCCCAGGGTCCCTCCTGCACCCCTCAAGGAAGGGACACCCCCAAGAAGGGAACCCCCAGAACCCCAGGGTCCCTTCTGCACCCCTCAAGGAAGGGACACCCCCGAGAAGGGAACCTCCAACCCCAGGAAGGGACCCCCCAGCACCCCAAGG